ATCTATCTATCTATCTATCTATCTATCTATCTATCTATCTATCTATCATCTAGCTAGATCTACCTGCCTACCTACCTATCCCTTCCAGCTCAATTCTATATGATTGATTGATAATGGTGTGTGAGATTGATTAGGTTGTGCGCAGCAAGGAGAAAGTGAGCGGAAAGAGAGAAGTGGAAGACACGTTCCTTTTTACTTTATCAGCCAATGAGTCGCTCAGGATGGAGACAAGGATGCACCAATGAGATCTTTAATCCGAGCATTGTCAGCCTGCTCCATCCGATCTCCCCCGCCCCCCCCACCATCCTTCTTATGGCAACTCAAAAGCAAGCCAGGGATGCTTTACGAGTTGACACATCTTCTGTGGGCTTCCCCAAAGATGTGAGAGATGGGATCTCCGAACGCCGGTTTCCACCTCAGACCCGAGAAGCCACCGCGTACATCTTGGGAGTAGATCTCTGCAAAGCGGTGCGGACACCTCGGGATTTCCTGCCCAGGTCAGCTCCTGTTTAACGACCGGGAAGCAAAGTTCAGTTTGCAACGGGATGTGAAGGTTAACAGCTGGGCTGGCACCCCACCAAAACGGGTTTTATTTTGAATGGATTTTTGGGCAGCTGGTCTCAAACCGTCGGCGTTCCTTCCCTCGACCGCATCCGGACTACGGGGGGTTATATGGTGGTTTATTTAACCCTCCCCTGGCTGCCGTGTTTTGAAAAGGAGATAAAATAAGAAAGATTTTGCCTGCGTTTGGGAAACGCAGAGGAACACCAGGGGGATCTACTCTGCGAGATGGATAAAACAGTTGGATAAATACAAATTAATCGATTAATCCATAGCTCAAGGAGACTAGGAAACTCTTTTTAGGGTGCTGTTTCTCAAATGAGGCAAATTTCAGAGGGGGGGACTTCAACTCCCAGAATTCCCCAGTTGGCACATATGGACTTCAACTCCCAGAATTCCCCAGCCAGCATTCCGGTACTTATACTAAAATAATGCTAAATGTTTAGGAAGTTGAGAATTATGGCCCCTCTAACTCTTAAAATAAAGCTTATCCTGGCTCAGAGAAACAGATGCATTGAGGCTGTGGAATATTTTTCTGGTGTTGGAAACCTCACAACATCCTTGTAAGGTAGGCCAGGATGATGGACAGGATGAGTTCTCACTGAGGGCTAAGCGAACATCCACGCGTTTGCCTCAGAGCATCTATCGAACAGACACGAATTTTCTCCAGTCTTGCAGAACAGAGCGGCCATAATCAATGAATGAACCTATCGATCGATGAATTCATAAATAGCAACGCATTGCTCTGCTTGGAAGTTGGCTAGATCTTCTAGAAGGTCCCTAATGGGGAAGCGTGGCTCAACGTGAAGGAAGACCTCAGCACGCGTTGAGAATCGTCTGTGTACCCATTTCACTGACCTGGAGAGGAACAATGGAGGCAGCACGACAGGAGAATGCAGGCCGCCAGGTTTCCCGCCGAGCCGATCAATCCTAGCCAACACGACCATCCAAAGTCTTGGTGGGCGTCCAAAAAGACATTGTGGGGCACGTGGGCAGCCTTTTCCATGTACGCATTTACGGCGTACCAGAGGGAGCCCACCAATCCCAGTACACCTGGGCAGGTTGGTCAAGGGGAAAAAAAAAGGACCGTCATTATTTGAGCCAAAACCTCTCCCAAATCTCAACATTTTAGAAACGACAACATTTCTTCCTAAATGTCTGTCAGGGTTCCGGTAGTCGCCCTCATTAAATCGTGAGCTTGGACGTCGAGCTTCAAAAACACCTCAGAGGAGTTATTAGGAGCAAACCTGTCGGCATGTGGCCCGAAAATGGTGGCGCGCTCGTCAAACCAAGACCAGCCCCCGAGATCTCTTACCTCCGGTCCCGAGTGCCAATCCAGCCGCCGAGTGCATCTTCCGCTTCATCCGCGGCTCGTCCAGGAAGCCTTTGATGCAGTCCAGGCCGCTCACCAAAAGCACCAGGGCGCAGCCCGAAAGCAGGTCGGAAGTGATCAACAATGCCCTCGTCACCACAATTTTCACTGCAAGGGAAGGGAGTTAAGAGAAATAACAGAAAAAAAAAAAAAAACAGAAGGGGAAGGGGACCCCGGAGGTCATCTATCCCAATACCCCTACTCAGGCAAGAGACACTTTCATACGGAATAACAGAGTGGGAAGGGACCTTGAAGGTCATCTATCGATAACAAGCTTCGCTACGAAACTAGGTAGCGGGGCTTAGTTTTGGGGGAGGAAAATTAAGCAAGGAGGGGAATTCTGCCTCTGCCTCCCAGCAACCATCATTATTCGTCTGGCTAGCGTCTTGTCGGTGTGTGAGAGAGTAGAAGGCTGTTTGGAAACTGAAAGAGTATTTGCGGTGTGAGCAAGGAGACAGCTAGGAGCCTGGGTGTGGCTTAGCTCAACTGTTCTGTACTAAAGCTGCTTGGTGCTGTGAAAGTAAAACTGAAACTGAAACTAAAACTCCTCTGCTTGTGTTTTGCCTTTGGAAGAGATTTCTTTTCAGGTGGGGAGGGGGAGTCGAACTCCTTAGCATCAGAGCGTGTTAATAATAATAATAATAATAATAATAATAATAATATAGGAAATACTCTAAATGCCCTGAGGGTCATTTGGAAAAATCCTTTCTTAGTGAGCCCCTAGAAGCCAAGAGGAACATACGGGATAAAATATTTGGCTGAATGGCCGAAACGCTGCTGCCGGCCCGTGTTGACAAAATTGTTCTAAATGGAATTAAATTGAATCAAATTAAATGGGATGAATTAAACCACTTACTGGGATGCTCAGCCAAAATGGAATCGTACTGGTCACAGGTCTTAATGCCGTCTTGGACATTAGTGACGCATTTCCTCCAGAGTCCTTGGCACTTGTGGCTGACCTACGAAAGAAAAGCCCTATGACTGGAGGTAGTCCTCGGCTTTATGTCCGTTGGAAGATACGACGGGCTCGGCCGGCGTTCTCGCGATTCAGTTGTGACGACGTTTTTCTGCCACTGACCTCCAAGCTATCATCAGCGTTCACGATCCAGCAATCCGACCAGGTCGCTGCACCCAGAAACAGAGTGGAAAGCAGAGCCACGAAGAAGCACACCAGTTGCAAAGGGGCTGCCATTTTTGCAGGACTGGAGGAAACCAGAATAAAGCTTTCATTGGGTTTTTAAAAAGACGTCATTTCTTTCTCTTCTCTCCTCCCCCCCCCCCCCCTACGGCTGAGGAATAGGTGCCGGTAAAAAAAGAGAAAAAGAAAGAAAGATAGAGAGAGAGAGAAAGAAAGAAAGGAAGAAAGAGAAAGAAGGAAACAAAGAAAGAAGAAAGAAGAAAGAAAAAGAAGGAAGGAAGGAAGGAAGGAAGGAAGGAAGGAAGGAAGGAAGGAA